TCACATTAAAGCATACAGCATTATCAGGGAGGTATGTTGACTGTTGTCCTCTATAAAACGGAGTCAAATAAGGTGAAGTAATGGAGACGTTTGCTTGCGAACATGTTCCACTTTGAGTCACTAGGTGAGTTTATTTCTTAGATTTAGCTGTTCGCTCGGATTTTCACTGCCATTGTAACCGTCTAGAAGCCTTAGATCATTTATTGTAGTTGGTTTTTCGCACATGGTTGCATCTAGGCTGCTGATAACTGGACGAGTTTGCTGTGGAACGCTTTCGAAGGTTGAAAATCAATAGGGGAAGACCAGTTGAAGGATTCTTTCAATAATTTCTGGTATCAAGTATGAAGCAGTATATTCAGTAGGTTTGACAGTTCTGGTCAACATTGTGCTCAAGGTTTTCTCTTCAAACTTCGGTTGAAAAGAGAAGGAGAAGAGGGAAGCACGGGCAGAAATGATGCAAAAGCCTCCATTAAGCCTCACTTGAGTGGTTTTATCGTTATGTATGCAAAATGCGTGCAGTCCCCCAAACAACTGGACCGAGCTTAGTGGCGTATTGGGCATAAAAATTCCTGACATCATTGCTAACCCATGAAACTTTGCTCTCTGCTGAGGTCAGTGATAGTGAAACACGTTTGCAGGTATTCGTTCCTTTCAGAAGTGGTAAGTTATCACCCAAATGTGGTGGTCATCCTTTACGTTAAGAATACTTTAATTCCAGAAGCCATATAAACGGTTGCACATGAAAGTTGAACATGTGAAATGCTGGGCTATCGACCAATGTGCAAATGAAAATATTTCAACCTAACCGTAGCATGTTGAAGCCCTGAGTTAGAGGCATAGGACTTTCCCCTGAATGAGCTGACACCCTGGATAGATACATGAGATAGGCTAACAATACAAGTATCACGTAACCCGTTTGATTGTTAGTGGAAAAATCAGTTTCATTGGCCTTTATGCTGCACATTAGGACAGCAACCAGATGTGATCATCAGCAGGCCCCATCAGTTCCAGACTAAGCATTCTCATATGCAGATGGCGTATGCCTCATCCAAGACGTTGCACTTCTTGGTAAGAGCGACCACGCTGTGATCGTCCTCAGGTTCACAGCAGATATCTTTTACCAGGCCGAGGCTCCAGATAGACCCAGTCTAAGGCAAGCGAACATGGAAGCTATCTACTTGGCAGCCTCTTCGGAGGACAGGAAGCCTCAGTTATCAATGATAATATATTTCGAGCAATGAATCATACGAACACATGCCATTTTTACAGGCATGGTGCTCCTTCAAGCAGCTGGATGCACGAGTGGCCCAACCGTTCACTCCGCGGACTGTTCCGAGGGGACAGACTCATTATCTTCGTGGATGAACCAAGCAATCCGGATCTTGCCACGAAGCAAGAAAAAGCGTTGAAGCCTCGCCACCCCCGTCACCCTTCCTGAGGAGATGAAGCATGATAAAGAAGCCAGAAACAAATGTATAGCTGCTATCCGACGGTCTCGAATATGCTCTGAAATAAGCAAATCAGAATGAGTCTGATCTCACCCACTAGCGTGGTTGGAATGACGTCGTGTTTTGTCCATCTGCAATCCACAGGCAATACTACGGTGTTTATCACTGAAAACGGCTGTCAACCATACCGTAACAGTGAACCCAATTCAGTAGGTCAACTGGATGCGAGAATTGCCACTTATAAAAACGCGACTATTTTCCAAACTCGGAAATAGTTCCTGCTGGTGATTCGTACCCGAATGAACCGTTCAACTGCCATAGCTTTTGGCCCTTTCGGGGATCATTTACCGAAAACATCTTTCTTTGTCTATAAATATGCACTTGAAGTATTCGGTCCAAGTCGCTAATAAAGTGAGAGGAACAGAGTGCTAAGTTCCTGTTGGTAAGCTATCCGCTTTACGCCTTTATTCCCCCTTTCATTTACGTTATTTGTATATTAAACCACTTAACTATGATGGTAGAAAAGACTAGATCGCAAGCCCTAAATCTTTTAACGAGGTCTGCAGGCGAACAGAACCTAGTCCGTGCAGAAAGTATGGGAGTAACAATACCCCGAGCGCTTAGGGTCCCCATAGCACGGTCACACCGAACACCCCATTTATCAAAAACCAGCGAACTCACGTGGTTGGGGTGATAGTAACACGCCCCTAAACATATCGTTAGTAAACAATAAAGCACGGGAGGGGAACTCATGTCGACTAACGAATATACCGGCATACACCACACTTGGTCTCACCTCGCAGAAGGCAGACTACCCAGTTATCAACAAAGAGCAAACTTCTGACGACTGTTGTGTTTCCAAACAATTGCTATCAGAGGCCCAGATTTTATAAGATACATGATATCACACGACCTATGTGATATAAGAGTTCTTGATGACAGGTATACATATTTAAGCAACCTGGCCAAACAGTCAAGTTACAATTGTATGACTTCGAAAAGGTGGGGGGCGTTTTCAGCTTAGATGAATAGTCTCGGCTGCATTGCTGTCTATTCGTGAAGCTTTCGTCGCCTTGCTAGACGACATCCTCAGCGTTAACTTGAGTATGAGGTGAGCTGTCAATGTTTCTCCGTGAGTAATTTAGCAGCTCGTCCTGACAATCTGCTTGTGATTGGTTGTCCCCTTTCGTTGTTGTGTCACTGACCGACTCCATAGATTTTCCTGTTGCCTGTTCCACTGCTTCACCTCTGGCCTCACCGTCTTCTATCATTTTTCTCATCGTTTGGTAGATTGGGTCCATATCTATACATTTGTTGATTGTTAACTGACTGACTGACTGACTGACCTGAATGCCAAGCCTCTAGGAATCCCCTGGTATTCGCTGTGTTTCCTCCCTCCGTCCAAAATTTCTACATTGTCAAAATCCAGTTCGTATCCATAGTTATCAGCGTGCACCGAAATGAGTGACGAAATGTCGTGACGTCTAGTAGCCAATTGGTGTTTATATAGGCAAAGGTGAAGAGGGTGACCACTTTGTCCAACACTATAGTATTGACTACAGTTATTCCAGTCGATTTTGTAAATGATATTCGGTTTGTCTTCTTTCTTTGTTGTTTCCTTTAGTCGGCATAATAGTGTTTGGAGGGAATTTGTTGGTTTATGAGCCACACCAATTCCATGTAGTCTCAGTAACCTTATCATGATTTCTGATACATTCTTTATGTATGATGGAGTGGTGTGTTTGTTGATTTCTGTCGATAGATTTGTAGCTGCTGTTGTACGGGATAGGCATCTAACAAATCTTGGTGGGTAGCCATTCTCCTTTCGAACAGATATCAAGTAACTTTTTTCGGTTTTCCTTGACGGTGTTGCACTTCAGTGTGTTTTCGCATTCTTGAATAAAGTCTGCATGCAACTAATTTTGTATGTTGCTGGGTTGTTATTGCCGTCGTTGAGGAGTTGGTCGGTTAAGTTACAACCGGAAAAGTCTGTATTTGTTTATGTCACAGTGCAAACCGACCAATGTGGGTTTAAGCCTGATCACAGGGCCGGCCGGAGAATCTCTGAACAGTAGTGAGACGGTGGAACTGTTGAGCAGTCGATTTGACGAGCAACTCAACACAGCAATACATCCACTATTAACATCTAGCAATGCAACAAAGTCTCAGGACTGCGATATAAAGCTGATGAAAGTAAAGATTTTGTCAAGCCGAGTGTTTGCGAAACTTTCAACACTGAGAACAGGAAAAACCCCGGGCTATGGCGATAAAAACCGGTAGTCCTACGCAACTGTGCCGAAATGCTAAGCGTACGCATGTGCAACCTGTTCACGCAATCCTTGAAGTAAGTCCACCCCCCAAAGAATGGAAACTCCCCATCCTTTCGCCAACCTTCATGGGAGGAGACCGAAAAAACCGTGCAACTACAGGCTGATAGCAGTGCTCCCCATACCTCCCAAGGTACTGGAAAGCCTTGTTGCAGGTGTTGCTTGTGACAACCTGAATAGAAACAATATGTTTCATCTTACCCAGCATGACTTTAAAACTGGGCGGTCATGTACCACAAACCTGAAGGCCGTCTGGGATAACTGGACCACTAGATGGGACAACAAGCGACCAGTTCACGTTACCTTCTTGGACTTGGAGAACCCTTGCGATAGCGCCCAACACTGCACCATACTCGCCAAGCTTGCAAATGTTGGCATCGGTAAACCTTTCTTAGCACGGCGCATTCAGGGAGTCACCAACCTCACTAGTCAACCCTCTCCTCCCTTCTACCCGCCCCTCACCACCTTCCTTCCTGATACACCCACATTACCCACGAATTTTCCTCTAGAAAGTAGACCTGCGCTATCTACTTGTGCTTTTCGTGCAACTCCCGCATACACTTCCCCCTTTTGTTTCTTTACTTTAACCCCCCTTTTTTATTTTCCCTTTCCTCTTCCTTTTACCTTTTTTCCTCATTCTTTTCATTCGTTGCCGATAACTTACCATTCTCTTTCAGGTACCTACACGGACAGGAGTCATGAAGGTCCCCTAACCTTCCCAGAAACCTGCAGTTCCCCAATCACGCTACAAATACAACTCACTAGCCCATAAAACATCCATCTCGCGGAAGCTAAACGCAAGGAAACAGAGGGGACCTCCTCGTCCACTGCAGGAGTGAACCGAACAACTCGAACCAAGCCCTGAGAACCAGACGTGAGAGGTCAAAAACTATCAGTCTTCTATGCTTGCACTATCAATATTGGATATTGGAAGACCTATGTGCGAGAGCTCAAAAACTACAAGTTCGCTCCACTCATACTATTGATGTTGGATGATTCTGGAAATGCGAACGAAATTCTTATATTAAAATTCAGCTTCACTATGATTGAAATGGAATCTAGGAAACTCCTAGTTTGTGATTTTGGATATTGAAATGCTTTAATAACTGCAAGTTTCCTCTACTGGCACTTTATATATTGGATGCTGGAAATGTGTCATGGCAACGAAGATGAGCACATGAAGGCTATATTTGTTCATCTGGCGGCATACTGAAATCTAGTAGCTATGGTTGTTGAAGTGTATATATCGTCCACTTCCGGAAATACTAACGTAGATTTCATCTCTGTATGTTTTAACAGGTTTTTAGGTTAAGAGCAGACAGCAGTACATAATGAATATTCTTACCGCTGCAAAAATACCTTTTGAAGTCAAGGATATTTCAGCGTCCGAAACTTATAAACAATTCATGTGTAAAACAGTGAAGGAGAATGGGAAGACGCCAATCGCTCCTCAGCTATTCCTTGGATCAGAATATCTTGGGGTAAGAAGATATTACTTTGGCTGCATTGGGTATACATATACCCATATGAATATGGGTATATTCTGTGCATTACAATGTACAGAATGAAAAATATTTTGTATCCTCTATTAGAATACATATTTTTTACTGAATACACCTAAAGTTTGTTTCTTTTCGGTTAAAAGCAGAGTATGTGCTCTTGTAAAATTTGAATGAATACCCTGTAGCGTCTCTTCTACTTGTCTCAACAAATTGCCTACTGTCTTCGGTAATTGGAAGTTCTGCCTCCTTCAATCCACTCCAGTGTATTTAGCTATTGCTGTTGTCAACTTAATTCTCACTTTGATAAGGCCAAGCGGGTTTCATTAGTAATAGCTTCAGAAGTGGTCGGTCGTTTATATGCTACGTAATTTCGACAACGGAAAGTTCTCGCTAGCGAAATGTTAACCCATGGATGTAAACTGTTTCTTGACCATGCTGTTAGGTCACCTATGTTTAAATTCCATGTAGCAATTCTACTGCGGCCCCCAGCTTACGGTTGTCATCAAATGAAACCGTAAGACACTGTGGAATCCTCATACGTAAACAATGCTGCATTATATGCATGGGCCTTAGAAACTTAAAGCTTATATACATGATATCTTTAGATGTATATAAAAGAGAACAAAAAGTAGGGTTTATTACTTGTTTTGATGTCAGTGACCTCATCTTCATTAGTGTGATTGCATTCAAAGTGAATGGAAACAAAATTTGGGGTAGTACTAGTAATATTTCTGTTGGCACCCTTTAAGAATAAAGTTTGGATGTAACTCCAGATTCAGTTTACAGCAGTGCAGAGTGTTTATGTTTAGCTTGCTTATGCATACTTAGTTTGGGACAACTCACTGAAAAATTCTGGGACCACCTTTATGAATTTCCTTTTATGTCTTATGAACTTCGTTATAAAGTTGTGGTCCTCAACCACTGACACATAAAAACTCGTCAGCAAGAACTGCTAATAAAGCGCTTTCTTAATTAGAGGTGGAATAGAATTGGGTCAATCTAGTGTTTTTTACGTTCTTCGACCGACCATCACCCAAGAATTGATAGAAATTAGTATTTAGGCTGGCAGCATTTTTGCAGTATTATTTACTTTTATGTTCGTGTACATCCTATCACATACCATCAGCAGTAATATGTAGATATAAAAATTGTGTTCCAAGTTACGATACTGCCAGTGAACAGTATTCTGATCGTCTACAATTTGATTTAACATATTCTTTTGACTCATTTGGTGGATATGTCTTAATTGTTAATTAGGGAACGTGGTTCAAGAAGTTTACGTTTATGCTTTTTGGTGCAATTCTTAAAATAGAATTACAATAGTCTGAGAAAAAACAGTATAAGACTAACTGGAGAAGGGATATTATGCGAAAGTCTACGAACGAACGTATTATTATTTGTCCCTTGAGTTCCTCGTGGAACAAAGGGCTTCAGTAGCACATCTCCAGTGCATTCTGTTCTCTGCAATCTTTTCAACCTGGCTCCACGACAGCCCAGAAGCTCTCATTTCTTCCTCACACGATCTCCTCGATGTCAAACTCGGACGCCCAACTCGTCGTTTCCCATCTGGGTTCCACTCGAGTGCCTGGCCTGACGAGTGAGGTCACCGAATGGTCTTCTCAGTGTATGCCCAATCCATCTCCACTTCGTTCCAGTGCATATTTGTTGAGCGATAGGTTCTTGGTTTGTTTTTTGGCAGGTCAGAGTTCCTTGTTACTTATTCTTTCTGGCCATCTAAGCTTCAGTACCGAGTGAGCGTAGGGAGTTGATGAATATCTGTAGTTTGTTGGAAATCCCTCAAACATCACATAGAAGCACTGACTTGACGTTGGTGTTGAAAATCCGGATCTTGTTCCACATTCTGAGTGCAGAAGATCTCCACACTGGTTTCAGGTTAATGAACATCTGTCTTGCTATCTTTCCGATCCTGGCTGGATTTGACGTCCTTATCTGTGCCTGTGTTGCCTATAGGTGAAACAGTGCTTCCTAGATAGGTGAAGGAGGCTACTTCGTTTAAGTTTCCCCCGTTGATGGTGATTGGAGCTTTCTGTTGTTGTTGGTGGTGGTGTTGGTAGGGTATCTTCATCACTTCTGTCTTCTCTATATTCACTTGCAGGTCCGTCTTCGCTGCCCTGCCCTGCCTCTTCTGTCAGCTTGTTGGTTTTCGCTTGTAGATCTTCAAGTTTGTGTGACATTAGACACAAGTCATCACTGGTGAAATCCAAATCTTTTAGGATCTTTTATACGGTCCAGCGTATCCCCCCTTCTCGCTCCTCACGGTTTGCTGCATCATCCAGTCCAATACAATCAAGAAGATCATAGGTGATCGTAGGCGGCAACCTTGTTTTACTCCTGTCTTCACTTCAAAGGCATCACTGAGCTTCCCATTGTGAATTACTTGGCATGTGGCGTCTTCATATGGCTGTTGAATCAGGTTGATAAAGGTTTGTGGTATTTCGTAGTGTTGGAGCAGTTTCCAAATTACCTCTCGGTCAACCCTGTCGAAGAACTTTTCAAAGTCGATGAAGTTGAGGTGAAGAGTTGACTGCCATTCTATACTCTGTTCTATGATGATGCGTAGTGTGGTGTTGCAATTTGATCCGCACATGATTTGTGCTTCCTGAATCCAGTCACCCAGCCTGTTCGGGTCGTAGTTTTGAATCCAGTGCATCTTTAAGCCTCTCCAGGATGATGCGGTTTAATATTTTACTTGGGGTGGACAGGAGAGTGATTCCGCGCCAGTTCTTGCAAACACTGAGGTCTCCTTTCTTCGGCAGTTTGACAAGGTAACCCTTCTTCCAATCAATTGATAGGTACCTTCCCTTCCTTCCACACCTTCTGCAATAGTGGTGTGAGCATGTCCGCTGTTGTCCCTGCATCTGTTTTCAGTGCTTTTGGCGGGATTCCATCTGGTCCTGCTGCTTTCCCACACTTCAGTAGCTTTACGGCGTTCAGGACTTCACTCCTGCTTCTGTCGGAGGGCTTGTGTTCACTGGTAGTTCTGTGGTTGGGCTGCAAGTGGTATTTCTGGATGAAGTGCAGGTGGTGGTCCATTTAAGAGCTTTTTGAAGTGGTCGGCTCTTTGTTTCTCTTCTTTGGTAATTAGGTTTCCTTCATCATCTTTTATTGGTTGAATGCACAGAATTCTGCAAACAATTCTCCATTCTCGTTCATCACCTCTCGGAGCGCTTCTCGACCCATGGTTAGTTCTCTTTCTGTGTCGTCTGCTCCGAGTTTGACATTCATGTCGCCCATTAGAATTTCGATGTCGCCAACTAGGGTAGGGTCTTGTACCGTACTGATTGCAGTTGTTTATAGAATTCTTCCTTCTTTTCTTCATCTGCATTATTTGTAGGTGCGTAGCCCGGCATTGTATGATTGTGACTTTCCTTCCTTTTGAGTTGAACCTTGCTGTCATGATCCTGGAGGAGACTGGTTCCCACTGTATTAGAGCACTCGATGCTCTTGAGGACATCATGATAGCCACTCCCTCTGTGTGCTCGTGGTTGTTGTCTGGGGACAATATCGGAGTAGATTATTGATTCTCCAGTTGACAGTTTGGAGAGTCCATTTCCATTCCATCTGCTTTCGCAAATTCCTAACACTTCAATGTGGTACCTTCTCATCTCCTTTGCAATCTGGGTAGCCTTGTCAGTCAGCTTCAAACATTGTGCGGACATTCCATTTCCCTATCCTTACTTTCGCTTTCATCGAGAGAACATATCGGCCAATTAGCATCCCGAAGGCTTTCACCAACCATCGTATTTTCGTCTCTCCAATTCCAACGGGGAATAAGTTTGTTATTTTTTTATATTTTGTTTGTGCTTTGAAGTTTTTGTAGCAGTTCGATTTGTTTTACGGGGTAGGGTTGCTAGCCCTATGCTCAACCTTCCCTCTTTACCCGGGCCTAGGACCGGCTAGTAACTAGTTAAGTAGTTAACCAGGCGAGGTTGCGAACGAGCGTAGTAATACAAAAATGTGGGCTGACATAAACCAAAAGTTTTAGAATCTTTTCGTAGCTTCTGTTGTTTTTTTTGACCGCAACACATGTTCCATTGTTTTGGTTTAAATTTTTCGAAACTGTGTGATAATTGGTTTTTTAGAATGCTTGATCGGTAGGGAAATGTAAATTGTTAAAATCCCTCCGATGCTTTTCAACCTAGTGTGTAGTAATTGGAATTCATTTTTCTACCATAAATAAACAAACTTCAGGTTAAGTATTCGTAGCAAGGGGTGTGTCTTATTCATTTTTTTTTATCGGATTCGCCCTAAATCAGTGAGTTGGTGGATCATGGTTACATCTTTACCTTAGAATAAACTGCTACTTTGAATATTACCGATAATCTACAGGAGCTATAAAAAGGTGAATTTCACTCAAAAAGTAGTTAAAAGTAAGGAAAAAGCCGTTGTGTGTGCTGCATCTGTTTTTATTCGCTTTTACTTACAGGAATTCAAAACTGTGGTCAATTGTTTTAGCTGCTTGACTTTCTCGTCTGGGTTGGCTATGAAGTATTTTCAATAACTGTTGCGAGACAGTGGTCTCTCATAGCCCAGTACATCGGAAAGCATACATTGAGTTGTGTAGAGTGGGAAATAATATCCTCAGATGAAGGGTAAAGATATTGTACTGTCTTAATCCAGATAATCATAATCTGACTGACTGACAAAATCAGTGTGGAACCTCGCACATGGGTGCATCACTCCAAGTTGCCACACTTCATAGTGGTATACAAAGAACAAACAGAAAACGTGAGATCAAAATAGACAGATTTGTGTGAGAATTAACAATCTGAAGATTAGTGTAAATATTCAACCTTTATAAGATGAGTGAATACATCTGCGCCATTGTGACCGATTTTCAGCCGTGTCATCAAGAGTCCTCAAAGACTGATTCCTTTCGTCTCATGGCCCCCAACCAGGTAGTGTACATCTCCCAACATGACTCAGACCAACAGTAAGAGATTCCGTCGACTGGTGCCACCCTGAAACTTCTTCCAACGTAATCTAACTTCGCCTAGTGTAACACGTCGAGGAAGATGGGGGATCGGCATACGCATTACATATCCGACCCATCTCATTTGACTAAGGTTCGCAACTTCATCAATCGACTTGACTGTCTTACCTAGTAGCCCTCGCGTAACCTCCATATTGTTCGTACAGTAATTCAACCAAACACGAGCAATGCTAAGGAGACATCTGTGATCGAAACCCTGCAACCGCCCTATGTATTCTACTTTCAGTAGACCCGTACAACAGGAGAGAACGCAGTACAATGCAGTATACTCGTCCCTAGATAGATAGTGTGGTATCTCGCTAGTCGGCGCCACAGATGACGCAAGTTAGCAAATGCAAAGTAGGCCTTCTGTATCCATATGATCATTATCTGAAACCAATGATTTCTAACTTTTCGTTGATCTAGGTCAGACAGTCTTTACTTCTGCATACTACTTATGCGACCATAATTTACGAACGTTTTTTATATCATAACCAAAATACTTCGGAGGAGGAGGATAAATATGTGATGAATATGTATGCGTTCTAAGTAATGTTCATAGTTTTTTATAAGTTGGATGGTAATTTGTGCATGTAGTGCGGTATTTAAGAAAGTCAAGAACGTGAAAACCGGTTAAACCACTACCTACAGACATTTGAGCGTTAATTGAAACTTTTATTCTTCTAAACTAGCAGACAGTGCATAGTTGCTGAACTAAAGTTGGCAACCAAGATCCTAGCAAGGATTAACTTTGTGAAATGGAGAAATAAGCCTGAAATTAAAATGTCTATGGAAGTTAGAATCCAACTTCATAAAACCTCCATGAAACCTTTTCCGACATCTTGTCCTTCAAAACTCCAGTGGATAAATATGAGTAGGAGTTGGGAAGATACCCATCAATCACGTAGTAGTAGTTTTGTTTAACAAATACCTATCGATAAAAATCTAATTCTATTTCTTGGTCTGAATTGTATCAAGAATCTGATGTGTATCGCATCGAATCCACTTGTTTGCTGAATTCTGTAGCTCTGTGTCGTTTTATTTTTGTCAATAAGTTACCATGTGCCATGTTGGAACGGGGATTTGAGCATTGATTATAGTTTGCTCATTAACATGTTAGAGTATTTGGTAGTGAGTGGTGGTGAAATTTGTAACTTATTTGAACTTCTTGATTTTTACACTGAAATCTAAACCCAGTAATCATCACTTGAAAAAACTGCAGATCGTTGCCACTAGACTAATGATGTAAGACTGAAGCAATTTTTTGTTTCAATGATGGATAAAACTTGTTCTGAAATGTTGATTTACTAGATTAACTTTCCATCGCCGAAATGTAATCAGCAGCAGTATGAAGATGTCATCATGATCGTGTCTGTAAGTATGGTATATGCTTTCCACCATCGAAGTGCAAAGTGTTTTCCCAAGATTGGCAGGAGCGTGTGTGTGCCTTCACCCTAAGTGGTGAGCCGTCAGAAGTGTTCGAAAAGTCTATACATCTGAGTAGTTGTTTGATGACTGGTAAAGGTGTGAGTGATCAAATTTATAACCTCATATCGAAAGTCAGAGTGGCATACACCAATCTAGGCCACCTTTAGCATCGTCGCAACACTAGTCTGACTGCCAAAGGTCGGGTTTACAACACTTCAGTACAAGCATTTCTACCCTACGCCTTCAGAACCTGACCTCTCCGAGATGAGGATATATGACGACTCTGTGTGTTCGATTATCGTTGGCGCTGTAGGATTGCTTATATTTGGTGGCAACAGTATGTAAGTAATTCTGATGTACAATAGTGAGTGTTTAGGCATCATGGAGATCGTGATTCAGTCAGTGAAGTCATCTGGAAACAACGGCTTTGGTGACCGTCCTAACGGCTTTTATATCGTCCATTGTTTACCAGTCCTGGGGCTGAGACTGGATGGAAGAAGTGAAAGGGTGATCAGTGTATGATGTAGCGCTGTGGAATGAAGGGTAGTTGTATCGGGTTAGCATCTGTCTGTGCATCACGATTCCTGGATGGGGTCGAAGAGGTCACGCAACTCACTGACTTGAGACGTTATCAAATATGGCTGAGAATCGGAACCAGTGGTAGTCACGCTGTAGTCTCCTTTTGTCTTCTGCTGTTGAAAAGGAATGAATGTTTTGTTTCGGATGTATCTTATTGGGTTGACTTTCTAATCATCTTATTCCTGTTGTGTTTTTCTTTCTTACTCATTCACTTCCCATCGTTTATGTATTCACAATGTGTTTAGGCCATTTTGTGTGGCTCCATTTCTTGGTGCGGTTGCTGTACCATGTTTGTGTCTTAACAATGATGATAATAATAATCGGCATCGTAAAATGCAAAAGATCTGTCACATCTCGGTCTGATGAACCACGCATTCACTCAGCAGCCATGTGAGTATTCGTGCAGTAGACAGCAAAACAATAAGTGTATCTAGGATAACATAAGTACCTGACTGGCCCAAACCTCGGTGGGTAGGAGCGGGTTCTAACCCTCAACAGATCAGTTGGAAGTCGTGTCTAGACCAGTAAGCCACCGCTCGGAAAGGAACACGAAGACTTTAATTTTTTCTACGACTCACTATTATCTGTTAAAAGTGTTTGATAGATACAGTGGTGTTAGATAATATAGAATTTCCTTCTTATTTATGAATCGCTGTAAATCTTGATTGGTTTTTACCATGTTTGATACAGGTTGGTATTCATCATTGTATGTTATTTGGATGGAGTCAATCAGCAGGAAGCCTTGAACCTAGGTTTCATGGTTTTTGGCACTCAGCAAGGTATATCTGCAACCTCTACGAAACTGAGCTATTTGAGCTGCGACTGAGGTGCTGTGGGATTAGATTAGGCACACTGGTTGGCTATTGGAGGTCCTGCAGGAGGTCAGTCGCGACTCGAATAACTCAGTGGTAATGTCTCTGACTGCAGCACTGAGTGATATGGGTTTGAACCTCACACGGAACATCAATTCTGTAGAGGTTACAGATATGCCTTGTTGATGCGTGCCAAAAGAGCACGAAGCCCAGACCTAGAAGGGCTTCTTATCGATTGTCTTCATCCAACGAACATCTATCAAAGTACATCGTGATGTTGAGTCAATTAGCCTAGTGGCCACATTGTAAAATGATGCATAGAATTCAGTCAGCACTTAGAACTAGATACAATATGAAATTGGTTACTCTCTGTCAATCTGAGTTATTGTTATACCATATAAAATAGGTATAGTTTCAAGTCTAGTATACACATATTATGTAACTGCTGTTTGCACCTTAACCTCTCATCATCATCATCATCGAACTTCGTTTTATCTTCTTTATTTTACTCTAATTATAGGATTATGAAGAATTTATTCAAGCGAATGAAAATGAAATGTTAATGGAATTTTTAAAGATGAATGATTCATCACATACTACTAGTTTAGAAGCTGAATCATAACTAAGTTATTGAATTAATTTCGCTTATTTTCTTCTCGTTTACAGGTTTCATATCTACTGTTTTCGCTTATTACATTATATATACATATATCATGCTTAAGTTGTTGAAATCATTCCATATAGAAAAAAAAAACGGTGTATATTTATTGACCAGGTTGATTACTACATTAATTAGGTGGTTATCCTGTTTCTTCTCGTATTTTGTAAAGTTTTTATTTATCTTTATTATTTATTGCTTTCCATTGAATGTTCAACTCCCTATTTTAACAGTTTATATTCTAGTGCTTTATTGAATTATGTTTATGTGTTTCAATTCCTATCTTATTGAGATAAAGCTTTTGTTTTTGCTATGGAGAAATCTCCAAACAGCATAGTGTTCATTCCTTTTCCGTCTATTACATTATATAAACATTCCGGATAGTGGCCTTTTTGTATGTTTATAGTGTAGTTTACAAGTGTGTGTGTGTGTTTGTGTGCATGGTGTTTAAACACACAGACATATACTAAACTGTGCTAATTACACTATTGTAGTTAGTCGTTCAAAAACTTTTGTGTACATTAATTTATATAATAAATAAATGAATTGTGAATTAATTTTAATTGTTTTTTCTCTTAGCTTAAATCTGATATTAGACTGTTTTAATTAATTATGTTTCAGGAATTAAATGAAAGTTGACGACAATTAATGGTGTCCACAAGGGATGCCCATAGTCACAATTCCTATCTAACTTCGTTATAGACATACTAATGGACATAAATGACTTGGAGCACGTAGACAATATTGTCTCGTTAAGATGTTGAGAAAATGCAAGGTCTCCTGGACGCATTGGTATGCGTTTCTCTCGCACCTGACAAACGTGTGATAATGCTCCAGGACTGGTCTGCAACTTCGTGTTATTATTATCACCAGTATTACTATTGTCACTGTTACTGTCATCATTAATACTATTATTATCGTTATTAGTTTGATTATGACTATTATTCAATCCCAAATATAGTACAACAGGAGTACCAAGAAGTGTACCATACAAAATAATGTAACAGTTTTTATGAAGGCATATAGAGAAGGGAAGCGGATAAATAACAAGCAAAAAGTTACAGTAAGTTGACGCCTAGGGGAATGAAAGTGGTAGAACAAACTTCTTTTGGGTACAAAGGTTAGGTTTGTAAAGGTGGATTACAATCGCCTCTGTTATGTGAAGTAAGCAAATACGCACAATCCATGTGGTAAATTAAGTGGTATGCGATGAATAATGTTGAATGCTTTTCTAGTATCCACGATATCACGATAGGAAGTGAATGAGTAAGAAAGAAAAACACAACAGGAATAAGATGATTAGAAAGTCAGCCCAATAAGATACATCCGAAACAAAACATTCATTCCTTTTCAACAGCAGAAGACAAAAGGAGACTACAGCGTGACTACCACTGGTTCCGATTCTCAGCCATATTTGATAACGTCTCAAGTCAGTGAGTTGCGTGACCTCTTCGACCCCATCCAGGGAATCGTGATGCACAGACAGATGCTAACCCGATACAACTACCCTTCATTCCACAGCGCTACATCATACACTGATCACCCTTTCACTTCTTCCATCCAGTCTCAGCCCCAGGACTGGTAAACAATGGACGATATAAAAGCCGTTAGGACGGTCACCAAAGCCGTTGTTTCCAGATGACTTCACTGACTGAATCACGATCTCCATGATGCCTAAACACTCACTATTGTACATCAGAATTACTTACATACTGTTGCCACCAAATATAAGCAATCCTACAGCGCCAACGATAATCGAACACACAGAGTCGTCATATATCCTCATCTCGGAGAGGTCAGGTTCTGAAGGCGTAGGGTAGAAATGCTTGTACTGAAGTGTTGTAAACCCGACCTTTGGCAGTCAGACTAGTGTTGCGACGATGCTGAAGGTGGCCTAGATTGGTGTATGCCACTCTGACTTTCGATATGAGGTTATAAATTTGATCACTCACACCTTTACCAGTCATCAAACAACTACTCAGATGTATAGACTTTTCGAACACTTCTGACGGCTCACCACTTAGGGTGAGGACACACACACGCTCCTGCCAATCTTGGGGAAGTACTTTGTACTTCGATAATGCGAACCACATACCATACTAATGTGCAATAGTTACCAACTGACTAACTGCTATCTGAGTAGCCTGTGAATTATCTCGCAGTAAGACGATATCGTCTGCATATTCAGTGTGAAATAGCCGTTTTCCGGGTGGTAGATTTACACCACGTCCATGAACTTTCGAAGCTGTTTCAAGAATGTCACCAATGGAAAAGTTGGAGAGGAATGGAAAAATCACCCATCCTTGCCTAACCCCACTGCTGGCTTTGGAGAATAGAGACATATGGTTGTATGCCGTCACTCTACCTGAAGTATTTTTATATAGGGATTTTAGTATGCTAATAAATTTCCTAAACACGCCTCTCTCTAACAGATAATTCCAGAGTACATCCCTGTTTAAAGAATCGATGGCAGTCCTGATGTCAAGGAACACGATGATTGTTGGCCTATTGTACGTGTGGTGAAGTTCAAGCATCTAGCGGAGGCTAAGAACATAGTCAATGCATCTATGAGCTGAACGAAATCCGGCATGCTCCTCAGAAGTCATTTCCTCACGTTTTTTTTGCAAATATGATAACGGCTAGTATTTTTGACTTGACTAGTAACAGACTAATACCCCGATGACTGTTACATGCACTACGCAGACTCTTTTTAAAGATTGGCACATTGAGGGGCTTATTCCAGAGTGATGGGACACTCAGTTTGCCATACCTTCTCAAACAATCTTTTCAGTTCCCTGACTGGAGTCGTTTCTGCATCCTTAGGAAGAGCCAGGGTTAACTTGTCTTGGCCGTGTGCCCTGCGGCTTTTCATAACTTGGAGTTCCTTATGGACTTTCACTTCGTTAGGTGGATCAATGTTAATTGACCATGGAGGATGATACACTGAAACTGAGGATGTTAGGGCAGTGGGCCAGCTAAAGTGCTTTTCGAAGTGCTCCGTCCAGCGTTTCAGGCGTCTTCAAAGGTCATTTACCGGCTTACCACCTACCACATACCGTCTCACTGGCACCTGGCTTCTTGCAGCTTCCGACTATTGCCAAATGCAGTTTCCACTTCCATCTCACTTGCGCCTTCTGACTACCAAGCCTCACGGTCCCTGAGTAAGCGACATGTAATCTTTTACTTAAGTTTCTTAAGCGGACCTTTTTCTTTGCTATCCTCTGGAATAATCTGACGAGCGTCAAGAAATTGTAGAGAACTCGCAAAGACCCAGTGTTTACTAAGGGGTCATTCTTCAAACCGCAAGGAGCTTTACTCATCATTTTCATGACGTCCTGCAAGCTCGCCCAATGCTCGTCCACACTTTCTCGAGGGTCAGTAGTTAACCTTAAATCTAGCTTGGATTAGTACTTAGTTGAAATGTTAGGTGCAACTAATGTGCTTGCATCGACCTGTTTAGGACGATGGTTTTAATGACTGCCAAGACGCAAGATGACCGTAGCAGACACTACAGCATGATCAGAGTTCATACAAGTACTCTATATGGAGTAACAGTCCTGTATGCACCTACACCATCGGTAGGGGATTGCAATATGATATATTTGAGTGCAGAGTTGAATGGGAGGTAGAAGACATTAAGTAGCACAATGGCGATGACTGTGCCGGAAGTTTGTGCTGGTTAGAAATAGGTTGTGATCTGAGCAAAACTTCAGAAGACGGTTTTCATAATACAACCTGCAGCCAACTAATCCCCAATGGCCACCTAAATGACTCTCCTCTGAGTCAAGACGCCCCACCTGCCCATTCAATTCCCCTGCTAGTTCAGCGATATCTGTCGAGCGCACTTAGTTGTGGAGGTCACTCTGCTGATGATAGAATTTATCCTTGGTTGTATCTGGGCAGCAATCCGTCACAGCATAGGCAGAGATGATAAAAAGACATCGTTTCTCCTGCCGGTTGCCTCTTGATGAAGGTGAACCTTCCAGTGTAACACGACGCAGGTGACCGTTGGTGGAGATCCAGTCGAGCAGTGCGGCTTCGACTCTAGTGCTTAGTGCACCAATGAGGCGAGTTGCCGATGCCCCAGGTTCCTCGGGTAAGTGCACACGAAATATACTTTTCCAGCCGACAGATGGAGAACTTGTTCGAAGCACTTCACTAGGATCTTGTATGTGGGTCTCTGAGATGCAGCATACATCAATAGAGGGGCTTTCCAGTGTCCTAGTCAAACCTGCCTGTTGTCTGACTGCACCAAGGTGCGAATATTAAAGGTGGTGAACTTAAACGGTACGCGTGGTTTCAGTATAGCTGTGTCAGACATCTTGTAGGAGGATAGCTTTGTGAGGACAACTGTTTAGCGACTCAAAACAGTACAGAAAGACCAGAAGTCTAAGCAGTAGAGAGCAGCTGAGTGAAGTGAAGATTATAGGAATGAAGGGGTATCTACAGTATGTTTGACTGTAGATGATAAGGGTTGTCTCCCACTTGTGCTTATCAAATGTTCACATACGATCTGTTTTTGAAGCTACTTAGATACATGTTCCTCCACCCCTTAACTGTACTGCCCAATCACTCCTCTCTATATATGTGTGATGCGATAGATCGTAGTTAGCAGGCATTTTATTAGACCTCACTTGTATTGAATCGGGCAGAAACTGTGAAAATTCAGATTTTGTCCTTTTCATGTAGACTTTCTGTAGACTATGCATCTTTCTGAACCACCTAGTTGTCAACTCAAGAGTACGTCTAAGAATGGCAGATGATTATTATTCTGTTTCTCAAGTCAAGCTGATATGAGTTTGTACAGTGTTAAATCCTTTAAGTAGACAAACTATATCTTCATGCTTCTCATAAATCACTGTGATGTCATGGATATATCTCTTGGAAAGAGGAACTTAAGCGCGATGAGACTACCAATCAGATTTTCTATATATGTGATATATAAATATCAGCAAGTAAATGGT